AGCACATCTTGTTCGTTTCATTTGGAATCCATAGTGGTGGTGTATAGAGCCAAAAATGTTAGAATTGTGTCTATGTCCCAATATTTATGGACCTGACTGTATATGTTGCATATTGCTGTTTGAATGCTTTTTCTTGCTATTATTATTGTGATGTATTCTCTTTTTCTCACCTCTAACAGTGCTTGTGCGCCTGGGCAGCCGTAAGGCGTCATCTTTGGGCATGGCGCTGTCGTCCGTGCTGGACCAGGTGGCCAAACTGCCACTCCCTCACACCAAGGAGCAAGAGGAGGATGACGTCTTTTCGTTTTGCCGTTGCTGCACTGACATGATCGATTTCGTCAGACCTTTTGTTCAAGAAGTCAGGCATAACCTGCCGAATAATGAGATGCAGAGCGAAACTACAAACAGGACTGTGGGCAGACAGGGGAAGGATAAAGAGGATGAGCTGCGGACAGAACTTCTGAAGTTGTGAGTGAAAAAAAATGTGTTTTCCAGCTCAGACTCACGTTTGATAGTCCGACATAATGTCATAGAAAAGCACTGCAGGGCTCTTGAAAACTGATGATGCTGAGGCTTCATTTTTGTTTGTCTCCTCTTGAGCTGTATGAAGAGTCTGAGTCATCCTCTGTTGGAAGTACACCTCAAGGATCCTGACACGCTGGCTCTGTCCCCCCTCAGGACTTTTGCCACCGAGATTTTGGTAAAACCATTTTTCAAACGTGTAAATGGTGTCATTGCTGGTTTCTAATATGTCATCAGTTCGTCAAGTACTTGCATATCATGGTAATCGTGGTTTTCTGTGTCCTGCAGAACATCCTCGGTTCTATTGGGGAGTCCCTCAGCAGTCTCGTGCACCAGCCTCTTTTGAAGAAAAAGCAGGTTCCCGGCTTTCTCGAGGAGGAGGTGCGTTATCCTAAAGAGTCTTTAGCCAGCTTGGCTCATCTGGTGTTTGTCCATCACCTGGCTGCAGACACCTTCCCCACTGTTTTCAGGTATTTTGAAAACATATTTTTCTCCTGGGATGCACAATGTGGGATTATTCACACTTGGCTTGAAATGAATCTGTACTTGGGTGTTTCAGTAATTCTACATTAACAAATACTGAAACATTTAAATAATGTTAATGCTCCCAACACTCCGTATTCTCTCTGCAGTCCCGTGTTCAGTCTTCGATGTAACATCGAGCACGTCTCTGTCCTCCTGTCCAGGTAACGTGACATAATAATGTGTCGTGTTAAAATCTTTGTTAGCGTTTTACAAAAGCTGTAAAATATGAATATGCACATTATACACATATATATATATGTCCACTTTAATGATCAACCTGTAATCAGTGATATCTATCTTTTATAGAACTGAGGAGTCCAAGCTTCAGAAAGGACTGGTAGGTGACGTTTTCACTTATTTATTAGTTATTTATTACATAAATTATAATGACCCTAATCATGGAAATATATAGGATTAAATCCAGGAGTCACATATTGACTCCTGGATTTAATCCTATATATTTCCATGGTGCTATTTTAATTAAACACAACATGTTTAAAAACTTATGAAAAGTTTGTTTTCTTATGGTTTGATATGTACGGTCATCATCTTGGATGCTCATATTCAACATGGCCAAGTTTTCAAATAATGACGTTAGCATTTGGAGAGGCTTTAGACTCTAAAACTTGAGGTTCCCCACATTTTTTCCCATAATAGCCAATCAGAAGAAGCCAAAGAAGAAAAAGAATGAGGCTGTAAGGGTCGTTACCTGCCAGTGTAAATGGTCACTGTGTTACTTAAATCTTCTTCTGCACATTAAAAGCAGTCATCAGTGTATGATGGATGTGCATCACACAGGAGCTGTATGAGAAAAGTCTGGTGCGAGTCGAGGACGGCAGTCTGCGTGCAGACCTGCTGGAGATTAAAACCTTCCTCACAGTCCCTCAGGTGAATGCAGTCGCTTCATTATAGACCTGTTGGGTCTACTGTTGTGTTTTGTGTGCGTCATATAATGTTATTAATGTCAGTGTTTAATTTCAGAACTTAATAAAGGTCATGACAATATGTCCAAAGCATGAACTGGTAAGTTTTTAATCAATTTTGATGTGTTTAAAATCTAACGTCAGATCATTTGATTTGAAATCGGCTTTCATTTGTGTCACCTTCATCTCGTTTTTGGTACCTAGAATGAAACTTTGACGATACTTCTTTTTGTCTTCAGAGAACTAAAGGACTGAAGGTTTTCCAGCTGAGCATTGATAAGTTCAACACTGAAGCCAAGTACAGATTCTTCCAGTGAGCTCCGCCTTTCTTCCCTGAAAATTAATCAGAAATGTGTCTTTTCCACGTCCCACTGCAAGCGACCTGTGTTCTTGTTTCAGGTACACGTTGAAGACGAGTAACCACTCAGGAGTTGAAGGCTACGTCATTAAAAATATCAAGAATCAGATAGACATTGCCCTGCAGGTGAAGATGTACATTAAAGGAAAAAATGGCAGTGTGGGCCATGTTTAAAATTTCTTGGGGGACCTAAAAGAATCTCTTTATCGCTCTGTCTCCAGCCAGGTAACAGTAACGTCTGGTTTGAAGGCATTCAGCTCATGCCTCTGCTGCGTAAGGTTCTTATTCTTCCAGATGGCCCAGAGACTGACCTCCTGCAGTACCTGGACAGGTCTGTGCACACACACTAATGCGGGTCACAGGAGTGTGACAGCCAGCCCCAACACGCACTGTTAAAAAGGGTCATACACACTGTTTAAAAGAAAGTATTACATTGTTCAATTTTGTTTCTTCCTGAGAAAATATGAAATGTTTAAATTTAATTGGACACTTCTGTGTAATCATGAGGAATTTTCTCGATAAGATTATAAACAACAAACACCCCTTGGTGCTTTTTATATTAAATTGTGCAATAAGTATAAACAAAGTAGTATTGCTGTTGATTTTTTAGTTTTTAAAAAAGGCCAGTAAAACATACTCACTGGTCATTAAATGCACTTAAGTTGCTGCCATGTGATTGACTGATTAGATATTTGAATTAATGAGCAGTGGAATCGGTGTGGCTGGTTGAGTGTACGTGTCGCCCTGATCAGAAGTCATTATTTAACAACAAAATCTTGGACTTTATGGACGAGAGTAGTTGAAAGTTTTGGAAATGTCTGGAAGGTAGATTAAGAAACAGCGCATGTGTGTGTTGATCTCTACAGAGTCATGGAGTCTCTAAATCTGCTGCGTTACCTGGTCATTAGAGACAAAGTGACAGAGAACCAGGTGAGTGCACTGTAGAGCTGAAAACACCAAAAATTACAGTTTAAAACAAGCTGTTCACCTTTATGATGGCCAATAAGGGTATATAAGCTTTCTCTGTCTGTGCTTTCTGATGCTGCTGAAGACCGGCATCTGGACAGAACTGTATAAAATAGAAGATACGTTCATGAAGCCCCTTCGTGTTGGTGTGAACATGTCCAGGGCCCACTATGAAAGAGAGCTGCAGAACACAATGGAGGCCAAGAAGAGCAAGGCTAAAGGTCAGATCAGCGACACTTTAATCTCCCGTTTCTTAGTACAACATAGAGACTCTATGCATGCACAGGAGGGCTTCTATTTTGCAGGTAGCTTGGCTTCATTTTTCTCAGGCTTCTTTTGTACTCGTCCCAACTCAAAACAACTTCTTAATGGCACTTTTCAACATGTAGCATTATCAAAAGTGTTCAGAGGAGGCTTTCTGACAGCATTTGTTTCTTCACAGAAGAGTCTGTACTTTCTGTGTCTGTTGGTGGTGAGGAGCTGCCCAGCATGACCCCAGAGTCACAGATTCAGGTGAGTAACACAGTCAGATGGCATCGTATCACGTATTTATGTGTGGGGATTAAGAAAGCACTGTGATGTTCCTGACTGCATTTTCATTGGTCCTGCCAGGCTCTGCACTCTGCCCTGCACACGTTTGACATGATTGAGAGCGTGTTGGCACGGATAGAGGAACTCATCGAGGTGAAGGACAACCTGTAACCACACAAGCTCATCATCTCAAACAGAAAACTGTTACTTGTTTCAAAACAAAGTGCTAGTGCACTGCTGGTCTCTTTGCTTTACAGTGTAATTATAAAATGTTGCATACATTGTCAATTACAGGTTTAAAAAAAATGGCAAGTTTGTAAGCTCGGTAATAAACTTTCAAACTTTTGTACTTGCAGGTTAAATCAGGTGTTTTCATTTTTGGTGAAAGTGTAAAAAAGTTGTGGTTTGGTAAAAATAATTTGTAACCTTTGGAAGCTTCAGTTTCTCCTGCCGTCACAAAAATATCTTAAGTTCATGCAGCCTGTGTTGCCCAGAACACTCTAGCACAAAGGGATGTTATAGGTTATAAAGGTAAAAAAAAAAAAAAGACTCAGCAAAGTAGCTCACAAAACAATACATAAGTTTACAAAGTGCAAAAGGGTAAACAAACTTAAAGTAATAAAATGGATCCCATGTAACAGAATTGTTTAAAAGCAAGTCTATAGAATTTAGATTTAAGCAGTGATTCAAAGGAGGTCTGGCTCTGTGTGTTCGATCTTCTCAGGTAGGTCATTCCAGATGTGAGGGGGCCTGAAAAAGCAAAATCACCTACAGATTTAAATTCTTGCCTTTAGCACAGCCTGAAGGGTCCAACCTGAGGCTGTGAGCAGGCACACGTGGGGTCAGAGGTTCTGCTACGTACATCGAGGCCACAGGCGAGTTTTGACGAGAGAGAGAGAGCAACTTTTCATTAATGCCAGAGAAGAGAGCAGCAATAGTCCAATCTTGAGAAAATAATTCCTTTCATTCATTCAATCATTTTTAAAAAACTTTGCAAAATTTGATGATATTAGCAATTCATAAGCATGTTATTTCACTACAACCCATATTTTTACCCTGGGTTACTACAAAAAATAAATAAATGCTGAACTGTTTTCTTGGGTCCAGGTAACAAAAAGTGGAAAATAAAATCCATCTAAATGAATATAACCATGTAACCTGAATGAGAGACATCATTTAGTTTTTGCCTTTATTATTAACCTGAACTGGGAAAAACTGTTGACACTTCGGTGTTTTACATAAATAAACCAAACTCAGACATGCACACAGTAATGAAGCAGAATTCACACACTCACAGGATACAGATATGCACCTTCAAATTAAAAGCCTTTATGGCAGTGATAACTGTAAACAAAATATGGATTATTCCCTCTTTAAAAGGTCAAGAGTTATAGCAATATCTGCGATGTTTCCACCATTTTAAAATTCCCTTCTTCACAGTTCTTTAGACTACATCATAGCTGCTGTGAATATAAGAAATTTTTACTTTGAAGTGCACCGTGTCAACCACGAAGCCAAACCTATTTTATATAAACATTTACATTTAAGTAGGAGCGTTTTTTAAAGACGGCTGATGGGAGGGGGGAAAACTGCAGCACATTACAAGGAGTGAACGTTCTCTCTCATGCTCACGTGCCTTTTCTGCACCTGAACCACAGCCTAAGACATCATAGTTTTACTGGTTCCTGGTGCTCTCACAGCACAGTCTCACAGGTCTTTGAACAGCGGGTGTTGAAGAGCCTGAGCAGCTGTGATCCTGGTGGAAGGGTTCAGATCCAGCAGCTTATCCAGCAGGTCGTAAGCCGCATCGGGAACTCTGTCCCAGCCACGCTCATCCTCCTCCTCTTCCACCTTTTCCTGCTTTGGAAGGCGAGTTGCGGTGTCATTACCACCTGAATGTTTGTGCTTGATCGTTTGACTACACAAGAGTTCTGCAGGAGTTTCATCTGCTTCCTTTTTGTGTGGTTTGAGTGTTCTTTCAGTTGGACGGTGTGTAGGCGTATCATCTTGGATCTTGTGATGATGAGTGTCAGTGGAATCTGCCGTAGCCTCAGGAAGTGGTGTGACTTTGTTATCTGGCGATGGCCTCAATCCTCTGAGCGTCTCACACAGGGTCCTGAGGTCCTGTCGAGGGAGCTCCCGACTGCACACCACCGCTTTACCTGAATCAGATTCAAGTCCATAAAAATAAGATTACTCTGTACAGAGGTTTTTACAACCCTGTTTCTGAAAATGTGACACTAAAATGTAAATGAAAACGGAACACAGTGATTTGTGAATCTTTTTCTTCCCATCTCAGGACCTAATAAAAACAATAATTCTATACTGTGTGAAATATATTTTTTAAAAAATAGTCGAGCTAAAAAGGTCATCCTAGATTCTCAGTCTTTCTGAGGTATGGAGATTATCCAGAACATCTCTGAAATGTTTTGGAACATCTGCATTCGTCTTTTTCAGGGAAGGTCCTGCTGAACCTCTTTTCGTATTCATTTCAGCAGCTCGGCTCCAGGTGTTAAACTAAGATGTTTGCAGGCCAGAGCCGTGACCCCCTGAATGCATTTGGAGCATCATGAAATGAAATGAATAGCCATGAATTCTTAAATCCTAAATCACGTGAGAGAAGGAAACATTTCAGGTTACAGAGTTTGCCACAAGACGTTTGCAGAAACATGGAGCTGGCATCAAATTTAAAACAACACAAAAGGTTTTATGTGTTGTTCTGCACCATTTTCAGTTCACTATACTTCACATTTATATTTATGCAGTGCATCAACTCTGGAAACTGTGCTGCAGAATATTGTTCCACTGCAGAATTATAGTGACTCGATTGGTAGTGAACTGCCTGCAGGATTAGTCACTGCAGTCTTGCAGGTGCAGTGAGGATCTGCGTTCTGCAGAAGCCCCAAAAGAAGACATTTATACGCACCGAACGACTTGCCAGCCTTGATGGTCTCTCTGGAGCCTCGTAGGGTCATGATCTGAACGAGCGCAATCATGTCATCGGTGGCCTTAAAGAACGGGTAACGGCCACTGAGCAGTGAGAGCAGGATCACACCAGCTGACCACACGTCTATGGCTGCAGTGCAGGATGACAGGACAGGGGAGGGTGCAAGAGTGCAGATTAGTAAGAATAAAAAAGAACATCCCAAATTTGCTATTTTTAAGCAATTTTTGGAAAACCTGCCAGGCTCATATGACAGGAAATGTTACCAAGCATGAGAAAACAGATTTTTTTTTTTTTTAGTACTAGAGAGCATCTCTGAACATGCAGCACCTTAAATCACGTTCAACAATAGATACATATATTTATTTTCTTTGCTTTTAAACATGTATTATAAATAATGACTTGAGACACCCACCCGTGCCTTGGTTGGGACACTTTGTGAGGACTTCTGGTGCTCTAAACCCTGGAGTTCCTGCCCTGGGCGCCACCTGCGACTTTCTGCAGTCAAAAACAAGGACAGGAACGAGGTATTAGAAGTGACACAAAACAGAAACTAACAATTCTTCCTTTAGTGGAAGTGGATTGGAACGAGAATTTAGTTTTAATAATAAATAATTTTTGTTCTTGTACAGCTGACACAAGCACCATTAAATCATATTTCATATAAATGAAAGAAATCATATAAATGTTTCACTGTCTAGAATAATGCCCAAAACATGTGCAAGGTAAACAGGAGGTGCAGGAGGATGTTTTGTTAGTTACCTGGACAAGCAGACGTTGCAGACCCGATCAGTGAAGTAGCAGTTACAGGTTAGGCCTCGCTGTACGGGTCTCTGACTGCTGCTCTGGGTCCTGACAGGCAGGGTGGCTGAAGAGTACTTACGGCTGGCTGCGTCCTCTGTTTTACTTGGTTTTACCAGCTAAAGAGTAATGATGATTCAATTTTTAATGTCACCTCCAAAACACTCAAGGTCACCTTATATCACTTAATAATATATAATAAGACCCAGCAGGAAAAGTTGCAGCAGGGAACACAGTGTAGCTCAGTGCGGGGTTTGATAGCACCTAATGCTATCAAACTGAATAAGCTTATATAAAAAAGTAATTTATTTCTGTTAAGCAGTCCTACATGTGAACGTGAGAGACAAGAGTTGCAGAGCTTTGTCACAGCATAAGAGAAGCCTCTAAAAACCCATCTTCTTCATGCTGATGAAAGCTAATGGCAGCAAACCTGTTGATGAGCCACGGGGAGTGGGAGGGAATGAAAGTCTGGAGGTCAGTGACATATGCAGCGCAAAGACTACAAAAAGCTTTCAGTGTTAATATTTTAAAGGTAATTAGTTGCAGTACAGGGAGGAAAAATAGCATGTTTAGGATTAGGATGGCTGTGTCATGTTCAGTGTGAACTGCATAACTGTAGATGAGCAGAATATGTTTTTTGGTGTTGCACACCATGCTGAGCTATGGAAAGCTTTCAGCCAATAGCTCTTTCAGAATCACCCTGTTGGTGCAAATATACCATTTATGTCTCTCAAAATGCGTTATTGTTGTTATCGTTTTCTTCCATCACTTCATAGTAAAACGATTTATTTTTGTAACAGGCTACTACAAACAAATACAATTTAAATGTTTTTCTTTGCTAAATTGTCTTTTATGTGTAGACAAAACACTGGTTCATCCCTTTAGTTAGGTGCCTTTTCTATGCTTGGATCAAAGGCCAGTGTTAAGTGGATTAACAAGCCAAAATATGTTCCTCTTAAAATGCTCGGGTCCAGCCAATCTCCAAAGAAAAACTTTTCTTGCAAGAAAATCTATAGATATGAGCAGCAGCTCAAGACTTTTGCACAGTACTGTAGTTTTCCCCCATTGCTTACCTCTGTCCTAATGGCAGCGTGTTTGGTGTTGGAGAGAGCTGGTGTGCAGCTGTTCAGGTTCCTCTCTCCAAACACAGTCCGTGGCGCTTTGCGTAGCTCTATCAAATCCTAAAGAAAACCAACATGGACGATGACATAAGCAAAACATAAACAATGGAAACACAGATGTTATAAACATCCAAGTACAGCTTAACCATACTTCAGTCTTGTGCAACACAGTGAAGTGTGATTAGAGTAAATCTTATCACTGGACAGAAACACCTAATGAAGATAAAAATGATGGTAAATAAAATAAGTGCAGACACCTTTGTGGGCTTTGTGCGAGAAGTGGTCACAGTGGTGGTAGCAGAATGTGCTTTTTTAATCAGTGCTTTTCGAGAGGTTGAAGAAGATGTGGTGGTGGAGGAAGATGCGGAGGAATTTGTTGGGTGTATTTGCTGCCATGCAGGCAGTGGAAGAGAGGTGGAGACTGTTGTGGTTTTTGAAGAGAGTTTAGGCGGTGCTTTGCTCCGCTGTGCAGCCACTTGTTTCCCTGTGGACCCTCCACCTTTCTGTGATGGTCTCTTTCTCACCACCTTCAATAGCTCAATCTGGGTGTCAGCTGTACCCTGTGCCAGGCCGAAATCCACCAGTGCGTACCTGTGCATACGGTTACACAAAAAAACAAAACAAAAGCCAAAATGTAATAAAGTGTATGTGGAATTTATTAGTGTCATTTTTTTTTAAACATACATTCTAATCTTATAGCTGAGTGATGCTCCAGCACTGTATCAATATAGACAACACATAGCATCAGATCATTAGCCTTACATCAGAATATTAGCATTAGAATTGACAACAGATAAAACATTACAAATGTTCTGCAGCTACTTACATTTTGCTCTTTCTGTTGTAGAGGAAATTGTTTGGCTTGATGTCTCGATGAATTATGCCAAACTGGTGGATGTGTTTCAGAGCCTTTAACAGGTGGTAGATGTACAGGCGGACCTCTTCAAAAGTTAGCGACCCAATGATGTCCTGGTGAATATGTTTAGTTTCAATCAGAAGTTTTAAAATACATTTTAAAGCAACGTCAACATAATCAGGAGAAGAGACTAATTTAGAAGCTCAGATTGTGTCCATAAAAAATAAATAAATCACTTCAGTATAAACACTGCATGTCACTGCAGTAACATACGACAAAGTACATACAACAATGGCTTGATGCTCCATGTAGGGCATTACAATCACCACATGGTCCTCCTTCCTGAAGCAGTATGTCACTCCCATCACATTCTCTCTGCCTCTGCAAAGTGGATTAAGGGCACAGCTCAGAAGACAGGCGTCATTTCATTATAATGTGTTATGTCTGCAAGAAATGTCAATCTCGAACATTCGCGTCCAAGAATCATTACAGAAGCACTCAACCACAAATGCACACTCATTTATATAAATTGGTGTGCTTTATGCTGCACGTCTTGTCAACCCCAGCCAGCAGTGTGCCAAACTGCGTAGGTTAAACTGAATCATAAGATGTCACACAAATGAGAAACCCACACACCGATTTACCACGGCATAAAAATAAACTTAAAAGCAAGAAATCAAATAAAATTTGGTCTTTTCTGATTTTACATTTTTGGGATACTCGCCTCTTTCACAAACACAGTAATACTAAAATAAAAGTTAATTTGGAGGTGTGCTACAAATTCCACATGGAATTATAGGAAAATTAAATAATAATCAAATTGAATCCCTGCATTATCTGTCAAATAATAAAAACATACACTCACCAGCCACTTTATTAGGCACACCTATTTACGCTGCTCTTTATTGAAAATATATAATCAGCCAATATCATATCAGCAACTCAATGCATTTGGCATGTAAGAAATGCCAAATATGAAGGTGCAACTCAAAGGAACTCTATAATTTAACCAGGTCCAGGTCTTTAAGAAGGATTAGTGACAGTGTATAGGGTTACAGTGTACAGTAACACAAACTAAATAAATAAATAGATGTTGATAGAAAAAATATCTGTGTAATGTCAATAAAATTCTAAGTTACTTCATTGGACTCACCCTGCAACAGTGAGACACTGAAGCTCAGCAGCAATCCGTGTGGGATGGCTTGTTGGGATGAGATGCTTCAGTGCAAACATCTCTCTCCTCCCATCTCGCATCTGCGTCTCACCCAAGTATACTGAGCTGAACGTACCTAATGAAGACACACAAATGTCATCAGCACTTCTCCTTATGAGGTTAGTGAACGGCTAACAATCCTTCTCCCAGCTGTATAAAAACTCCAAAACTGACTACGTACCTTCTCCAATTTTGTCTATAATGCGGAAAACCTTGGCTAGCTGAGGAACAGCTTTGTAAAGAAACTCAACGTCCATCTCCACGTCCGCTGGAAACAAACAAGACAAAAAAAAATCCACTGTCAGAACACCATTACTAGTGAGGTGTATATGGTCAACACATAGAAAGCAATAGGAACGGGAGGGGAGAGAGATAGAGTATCGATACAGCTGTATAAGCCCGGTTTAATCTCAGGGTGGTGGGTTCGAGCCCTGCATTGGGCGTTCGCATTGAGGGCAGGGATAGCTCAGTAGGTAGAGGCCCCATGATCGGAAGGTTGAGGGTTCCACTGAACGGCTACCCTGAGGTACCCCTGAGCAAGATACCGTCCCTACACTGCTCCCCGGGCGCCCACCGCTTCACTGAGTGAATGTGTTAAATGCAGACGGAGATCAATAACTGTGACATAATTTGGAGTTAAAGAAAAATACTGGCGGCCACACTGCTACCCCTCAGCCTTCTAGTAGATGCACTTATGGTATGGTAATCCTACAATCTTAAAGTAAGTTTAAAAAGAACAAAGAAAGCAAAATAAATATAAAAAATATGATATGATTGTCTTAAAAATGAAATCTGCCTAGAGTGAGGTTATTAATACTGTGTGCAAACCCTAAGCTACAGTGACAAACTATAGCTGAGCACACAGATTTTAATTGTATATCAGCTATAATATAATAATGTAGTTCCAATATAAGGATGCATTTCTACTGAATTATTTCTGTCATATCACAGTTGTCCAACTCACGGGAGATTTTCCGTTTCTTGTGACCTCTGTCAGGTTCTATAAGGCATCCGTCTGTGCTGGGCTCAGCGCAGGCAGGAAAAAACTCCATCTGAAAACCAGAAAACAGTTAGAGACACTTACAGATGGAGCAAACACTCGTGATTTAAGTTTGGTAAACACTTTATTTAAAATATTCTGTAGCTGTACAAGTCCTCATTACTGTAAATGTCTGCAGTTATAGTTTTTTGAAGAGCGCGGTCTGACTTCCTAGATACCACTAGCATATTGTTATAGCTCGCTAACTGCAGCTGCTAGAGCAAAAACACAAAGAAACTTACCGCTTCAGTTGGTTGTAAAGTCCAAAAGAGTCTCAAATTAACGCCTCATAAAGTCACTATACAGCCCCGACCAACATCTCTACCGGTGAAACATCAATTACAGGTTTATATTCCGCTCTGGCGGTGGCTGAAGAACTTTGTACAGACTTTCGTATTGAAGCGTCTCCGCCAACAACAAACTCCGCGCTAAAAGTGACGTCAACAAAATCTCGCGGTACAGCATCAGAAATCACGTGATACTCCAAGCACGCGGACAATAACGATTTAATTACAGCTGTGATGTATCGCTGCATGACTTATTTAAAACAAAAACTGCTGCCTGTAAATTACACGTTACACAGCCAAATAACAGTTTAGTGTTTTCTGTTTATTTTCCTTGTTACTCCGTTATGAGTTGTTGCCTCATAAGAATGGCTGTTGACAATTTTGACCAAATTTAAAAAGACTAAAACTAATAACATTTCCTGTATATTTTAGGAGCCCATTCAACACTGATTTTTGATGAAAATATAATATTCAATTGAAATAGTCGAATATTCTTTTCCCCTTTCAAACACCAAAACCAGATGAAGTTTTAGAGCGCCATCTGGTGGAAATTGTGCCTCATCAAAACTCTTAACATGGTTGAGGGGTGTTTCTCACATCACTTTACTTTTTTCCATTTATCAGCAGTTATAAATGCAGAAATCAACAGATTGTGAAATAGTTACTATTTTACAATAATATCGTCCCACAGATAAATTGGCTTTAATATTTTCTAATGCATAATTTCAGTTCTTGTTTTTCTTGTTCATGTCTGGTTATTTTCACTTCGGTTAGCAAACGTGTTTTAACACCTCCTATAGGTTTATCATGTAGCTGTGGTTATATTTTTAATAACCTTGGATATATAGTACTGTGCAAAAGTCTTGAGTCCTCATTTCTTGCTTTTACTTTGTTTTCAAGGAGACAGAATTCCTTATACTTTTTCTCTCCAGGTTTTTAAAACCTCATTGGACATTTTTCTTAGGAGGCTGCTTTTTTAAAATCATTTTCAGTCTTTTCAATGTACCTGACCATGTTTAGTGAAATGAATTATTTTGTTTGTTAAGCCACCTAAAACAGAACTATAACTAAGCATAAAAAAGTCATCATCATCTAACACAAGGTATAAACAGCCAACTTAGTGAAGAACCAGTTTTGAATTGTATTTTAGGTACTTACGTTACTTACTACGTTACTAGTAGGCTCATTACTTTCACAATAGCTAGTTGAATCTACAAAAAAAAATCTAAAAATAACAGTAAAATACTATTTTTGCAACACCATGCAACAAGATTTATATGCAGAGACATGTGAACGTATTCCTTTGCATTAAGTTGAAATTAATACTTTCACTGGAGTACGCAACAACTTGAATGGCAGTCTTTGAATACACACCTATGATACTAGACAGTTGTCACAAAACTACTTTTAATTAGTCTACAAGTGAGTTCACACATTGAGAAATTACCCAAAGACTCCACTGAATCCTCCAGTGAACGCAGGCTTTATTAAGTAAACAGCGCACATAAATACAATCACATCAAAAAACCCTTTTGAACTTGTTTCATTTACAATACAAAATAAGAATGAATTTGCAACAATCTATAACTCGAGGTGAAAATCTCACAGGAAACAGAAAGAACCTTACATTAGGGACATGTTTATATCAGAGTGTGTCCACCAGTACTTCTAAAATATTCCATCAAAAATGCCAACAAAAGCATCTTCCTCTTTGCTGCTGGTGTTGAATATATGCAAAAGGGGGGAAAAAGGGAAAAAGGGTATTTATTAATCCTGTAAGGAAGTATGCTTATCCCATATCCCCTGCATATAGGATCACTTTTTTTATTTGCTGAGAAAACATGCAATAGGTGTGAATCAAGGCCACTTTTTTTACCTTCTATTGAGAGATGAGCTGGCGTTGGGTGGGGCACTCAATGCTGAAAAGAAATCCAATCTCCTAGTCACTTTTGCCTCCTCAGGCTGTTTTAGAAGTTCTAATGATGTTTTTATAGTGGTTTCCTCACTGAAAATATTTGGCCTCTGGACAACAAAAATAAATAGAGCCATGATTCATGTCTGCACATTAGCTTGACTGCTGGCGGTTACATTTGAGAAAGGTGAGGTTAGAAGCATTAACTGAAGTCAGACGAAAAATAGCACAAGTATGAGCTTTACTGTACTAGCTGAATAAATAGACAGTTAAATAGATAATAGATAACTAAAAGATGTCAACAGACAGAAAATGGTGTTCTCAGTGTTTTTACATATAACAACTAACTGCACAAATAGACATGTACACATTTGTTTGCACATACATGCACTTTTGGATTCCACTTGGGTGTGATTCTCTTCTGTGGTGTGAATGTCCGGCTGACTGGTGAGGGTCCCGCTTTTTTGATTTCAGGACTGACATTTGTTAAAGTCAACCTGAAATAATCATGAAAAACATTTATTGCACATGTATTGTTATTAAACAGTCCAACCATCTTCCATGCTCCTTGTTTCTCATGACAATGCGACAAAAGAGAAGAATAGACACTTTTTGCATGTGATATCAAGTTGTCATTGTAAATCGTGTAAAAACTATAAACTTTGACACTTGTATTTTACTTTACATTTAATCTACACTATTACGATTTTTAATCGACTAAAACTAAAAGAATAGAAAAGAGAGGGCGGCTGTCTCCTGAATCCAAACTGGGAGCTGTTTCCACAGGAGGGAACATGAAAGCTTTTACTTTTAGAAAATCCAGGATCAACAACTGGAGTCTGCAAATATGACAAATTTTCTAACAGTTACTGGTACTATCTCACTACACATACAGTATGTCACACAGTTTCTGGTTCCTGGCTTTCTGGTTATACCTTACTTGGTGGTTAATGGTGCATAAGGTTGTGGTCTTACCTCAGTGGTGTTGTCACAGCGGTTATAGAAGGTTTGATGTGTGAGTGGCTGAGTAATACTGGGGCTGAAGCTGTAACATAGCCTACATAAAGACATATGTATAGTGTTAATTAAACCATAAGAACATCTGATGTATAATCCCACATGGGCATGTGTGCTTAAGGGTATCCAGTGATATTAAAACATCACTGTGTTCATGTCACAATGAAGTCTTAATGACTGGAATGTGTGAGAAGCTGATTTTCAGTTCACTCTACCTGGTGTGCGGTTTTCATCACACTGCTGAATTTGAGGTTGTGCAGTCATGTATGAAGTCAGTGCTGGCTCGCTGGCATGCATCAGATTATCATCATCAAAATCGCCCCAGTCATCCCACTCGTTTCCAAGGTCAAAGTTGACAGTCGGTATCTGGAGGGATGAAGTATTTTTGCAGAGAGCAGCCTGTTCTGGCAGTGCGGTGGAGCTCTTTGAGTGACCCGTGCTTGTTGTATTGATCTGATTTAGATCCTGTTGAGAGTCCTGACTCCCAACACTCATATCTGTGGTCATCCACACCGAGGAACCTCAACACAGAGGAAGATAAAAGCATGGTCATGTCATCAAATCTTTCTCTACTGTGTGTATTTATAAATTCAACTTGAAAAATAATATCTATCTAATATCTTTTTAGATATATTCTTCCATCTCCCACGCAGCTATTGATTTCAAAGCTGACCGTGGTTGGGTGATACTCGTTAAGTCTACCATTTAATCTTGTGTATGCTGAATAAACGTGTTCCTGAGTATGTCTGACTTAATTAATATGTTTTCTTTTGTTACTAAGTTATTTAACAATACTTTGATGGTGAGGATGAGCTGCAGCAACGTTTTGGGAAGGCCCTCCCATCGTTGTGTACACGTCCTCCACATAATAGTCATCATAATCTCAAAAAACGAAAAGAAAGAAAACAGCTGATGATATAACATATCATGATATCTGATATAACACGTGACACAAAGAAGATATGATAGAAGTGACATTCAAATGTTAAGGAATATGTGGAGCTTAGTCATGTCACCCGTTTACCTCCGTCAAGGTCATTCAGGCTTTCTACGTCAGGTAGTTGAGCTTCACTTGCCAAGTCAGTCCCAGACTGAGGTCTCACTGAAGCTTTACAGAGATTTTCTTTATTCCTTCAGATGGAAAAAAAACAGAGCTTGAAAGTAATGTGAGCCAAGTGCGTCTTTGCTCATAATTGTTGAGAATCTAATGTTCAGCTTTTCTTTTAAGAAAACTATTAACATGTTTGCACATAAGAATCAAGATAAATCTGTAATTTCAGTGTGGCTGTGTGTACCAGGAAGGGGGTGGTAGCATCTCTTTGGGTTTGTAAGCAAACCTTTGCATGCTGAGCGACACAGGCTCCTCAGCCATTCTCATCTAAAGAAATAAAACAGAACATCACCCATATTATTAATTAGCTCAGGAATACAGACAATGTGCTCGCCGTGTGCAGAAGATGGTTTTCTTTACAAAAATATATATATGCCGTTTTCTATAATTAGTTATTTTGGTGCAAAATATTACAGAAACCCAAAACAATGCTTATGCCCTCATAGTTATACACAGAGTATATCTGCCAAGGGAACTTTGGACTGAATGAGCTTTAAAACATTTTATATTTTATACTTAATAAAACCATCATAAAGGGTAATTAGCAACTGCTAATCCAATACAGTTAATTAACTGATCATCAGCAAGTGTGAGCACCTCTATAAAAGCAAACTTTTTGGCAGTTTACTGGCATGGAGCATTTATGCCACAATATTCTCAAATTCACCCCAAGATTAGATCACGCAGTGTTCAGAGTTCTCAGTTAGCATGTTAAACATTGAAGATCATGGGAGTACAATTAGAAAAAAAGACTGAACAAGTACAGTGTGCTTGGAAGGATTTCCAGAAGGAAGCCTCTTCTCTATAAAAAGAACATGGCAGCACAGCTTAGATATGCAAAATTGTCCCTGAACAAACTACAAGACTTCTAGAACAATGTCCTCCGGACAGACAAGATCAAAGTTTTCCATAATGCACAGCACCACAATCATCAAGCATATCAGCATAAACACTGTAAACCAGCTGTCAAGCATGTTGGTGGAGAAGTGATGATTTGGTTTCGTCTTAAAGCCACAAGACTTGGGCACCTTGCAGTCATTGAGTCCACCATGAACTCCTCTGTATACCAAACTTGTTCTAAACTCATATGTGAAGCCATTTGTCTCACAGCTGAAGCCTGGCTGAAATTGGGTCATGCGCGATCAAAACAAAACAGAACCACAGCAGCAAGTCTACGCCTTCTGAACCAAGGCGTAGTAATGGCCCAGTCAAAGTCCAGGCCTCAAGCTGATCGACAGACTGTGGCAGGAGAAATGAAGAGAAATTAAGCAATGCTGTAAAGTAGAAGTTTTAGAGCTCGACTTATTGGATTTTTAAGATCGATACTGATATTTGGTAATTTAAAAATCCTGTTATGACTGTTATGTAGCACTGTATGCACTCTATGTCATGTATGCATTCTGGAGTATCACGACTGAGTGATCAGTATTAGATCCCCAAAAAATAAACTGAGTGCCATAACATTTGTTAGGTGTAGTTATTTAGTCCCGTAAAGACTTTCTTTTTATATAATTGTATTTTCTGTATGCCAAATACAACTTTAATGCACATACTATGTGCATTATATATGTTTCAATGTCCCTTATTGTTACTAAACAATTTCCACTTATAAATCCACAATAAGGATTGTTTACATTGCATATACGTCCTATTCTTATAATAGGACATATATGTAAGTCTGCCATCCGGATAGTGCATATCTTTTTTTATTTGCAACTTCCATACTTGACTGAAATTTCTTTTAATTGTTTTATTGTAACTACTGGTGACTGGAGTAAGAACATAATACAATGTTGTTCTGCTGTACTGTTTATGACCTATTGAGATTGGTTGGATATAGCACACCCTCAGACACACAACACATTCAAAAGTCTAGATAAAGCTACTGAAAGTATGAGATGTGGGTTCAGATGTGGTATTTTACTCACTTTGAGTCGCTTAACAGGGGTCGGCGCAAATGTGTCACATCGGCTCCTCAGGTCTTTCAAATATGAAGTGAAACTGGTTTCTTGGTTTGCTGACCTCTTTCTTGTCACAGTAACACCTACTTTACCTTGGGAGGACATGCATGAACACTGTTGTTGGCGCGCTGTGACAGGAAGGACCTCTGCACAGACAGATTCATAAAATGCATCATACTCACAACAGTCATGGGCACAGAAAGCCTTGTTCTTGCAGAAGTGGTTGCAAAGTCTTTTATTGCCTAAATCTGCAAAAGAACATTTAAAAAGTGAAAAAAATAGTCTGAAAGTCTGAAAAAAATGTATCAACAAACAAAATATGCATTTGCCTCAGAAGAAATACAATATTTATAAACCGTATCATGATAAAGCATGAAAAAGTAATCTGTACCAAAGCTACAACTGCCCTCTTCTCCCACAGATGTGCCGTTCTCCCTGTGAGTTGCAGCCTGATTTGTTAATAGTGGTTTCAGCACCGATTGCGGTCTCCTGGCATCCTGCGTTGTGTTGTGTGGATTTTCAGTCCCAAATCTTCGAGCTGCAGAGTAGTACACTGTGAACTTCTGCTGGATGTCCAGACCCACTACAGCAGAAGAAACGCATGGTAAATCCTCTCCTTACATATATTCAGTCCAGTATAAGAGTCCATACACCAAAATCTCTGAAATTAGACTTTAAGTTTTAATTTTCCAATACAGGATATTATTTAGCTTACTAAAAATACAATCACAACAGCACTGGTTGAATACAAGATGAAGAAAGGACACAGTGAGCTGTTACCTTCATTTAAAAAAATACAGAAAATTGGAACCAAATGACATGTTGCTGTTTTCCTCTTTTTAGTTACAATGTAAATGTGCTTCCATGGTTTACCATATTCTGAACTGATAAGATGCACACTGATCTCATCTCCTTTCATAGCCTTCGCCACGTCAATCTTCTTTGACCAGCTACCACCCTTCAGCAGCATTACGTCCCTGGAAAACAAACAGCATATGTTGGCATTCCATATTTTGGCTTCTTTTACAAAAGGTGAAAGTCAAGACATGGTATTTTATCCTCACGTGAGTTTCTGCAGAAAGACGACATTGTTATCAGCGTCTCCGATGACGACGGAGGCATGATGGTGGTCTTGAGCTGCTCTCCTGGTCAGCAGCTGTGCTTGGTTTTTGAGGCTCACTTTAAGCACAATCTCTGCTGTGGTGCTGCTGTACCTTGGAAGCTATAAATCACAACAGCTTTACAGGAACATGATACAGAACAGACATGAAAATAAACACTTAAATGTGTTGATATGGGTGAAAACAGGTACAATTTTGAAAACGATTTCAAATAAAAGCCAAGAAAATATAAATAATTTAAATGCTGGACCTTCAGCAAGCTAACAGTATACTGTGCCATTTTACATATTAACAAGTAAGAGATTATGTTGGCTAAAACGCATTAACGAGGGAGCCGTGGCTAACAGAAAGCTCAAAATAATCTCCTTTGATTCTTTGTAGCCGTGCCCAGAAGAAATCACATTCACATTAACTGCCCTCTTGAAGCTCTCGTGTGAGCAGAGGCACAAATTGTCAAGAATGAAATATGTAAATGTGGTTTAAACATCCACCACAACAAAAATCAAATGTTAGTGTATTTTTCACTACATTTATGATCAAATATTTATGATTTATGATTTTTTAAGATCAACAAATATGAAGTGCTCGTGCCTTGTGCCGTGATAACAATAGTTTGCAATGCCATTTACCTGCTCCAGCATTACGTCATACTTTGGGAGGTGTATGACAGACTCTCTGATTTGGTTTCCAAATGGCGGATGCCTATTGAGAATCTGAACATAAAGTTTGCAAAAGTTACACCCAAACACTTTCAGCAGACATTAAGTGCTTGAGGAGATGCTTAACATTAACTTAGTGATTTTGAAAAAACAGAATTACACTTTCACCTTTAGTTGTTGGCATTTAACATCAACCTG